TCACTTATATAATTTGTCACTGAGATGATTTTTTTCCTACTAAGCATATCCTTTCAATTGTTTGATATGATATCCCGAATGCCTAATTTTTTCGGTTTTTTCAAGCTCTTTGTAAGATTCTTTGCGGCTATACATGTATATTTCAAAGTTGAACCTATTGTGTTTACACATTGAATTCAATAAGAAATATCGCATACTTCTTGTGTTCAGTACCTAGTGAAAGACAGCTAATATTCACCGCAATTACGTCATGCGGTGTTCTCAGCATGCGCCAGTTCCCATTACCATGGGTCAAGTTGTAAAGAGGTAAGGTATCTGCGAAACCTGCTTCAGCGATGGGTACATATATACCCCCTCTTTTGTGGTTAAAGTAGTGGTAACAAAAATGATGAATCTCGGTACATCACCAAGGTAGGGCCTAGCCGCATTTACCCTAGGTAAAATCAATAATGAATCCGGCCCCAATTATAAACTTAACATGTGACTGACGCAGTTTTTCAGAATGCTCTGAATGGACCAGCGCCTCCGGATCTTATTCCTGTCCTTCTAACGAAAACAGAACCGATCAACTTGGGTAAGTTGAACGTAAGGCTAAAGCAAGCAATGTACGGGTAACTTCTGTACGAGCCACGCGGCTTTTACGCTTCCCAGTTTTTGGTTCAGCGCAATTTTTTGAACGATAAGAAACGAAATGAGCACTAAAAGTAAACTATTACTGAGCGGAAACATATTTTGTAAATCGTAATTAGCAAACTAACTGCAGGTCTGGAAGAGGTAAAAACTATAACATTTACCCGAACGTTATGATGGTGATGAGACATACGGAACGGTTGGACGATTTTTTCCCAGATTGGATTGCAAGATGCGGAGATAGATACACGCCGTACGATTTGAACATGGAATGCAAATTTTATTCTGCAACGACATCTTCATGAAACAGTAAAATCCCTTATTTTAGCCGATGATGTTGCCAATCGATAAACCACTCTACGCATATCATGGCGATCCTCCCATCACAAACACTGGAGATATTCTTGCACGTGTAATCGCCAGGGGGATGTTTTCGGCGAGATACGTTCCGAGTAAGGCCATTTAGCAGAACTAAGCTACTACAGTATGACTCTGTTCAAACTCTACCATTTATGGGTAGCTTATTTCGATGGCTAAAATAGCTTTATTCAACATAGAGGCTCGCTATGTATCTTGTTTGTAGATAGAGGCGCATCTGTTCAAAATAGGTGCTCTTACGAAGTAATGTGTAAAAGGGATTCAAAAACTAAACGAGTAATATTTATCATCATCAAAAAGAGAAAAGACTCTTTTGAAAGGTATTCAAATTTTTTCATTCTTGAAATGGGG